AATAATAATAATAATAATAATAATAATAATAATAATAATAATAATAATAATAATAATCATAGTAATAATAAAATGGAAATGAAAATAGAGTTACAAGAAACAGAAAGAAAATGCAAAAGAAAATAAATCGGACATTAAATTATGTTCAGACACATCCGTTGTACAGCCTAGTAGTAAAACGGACAAACTATTTTTTAAAGCTTTCCGTTCTGCAGCAAAATTACAGGAGTCTGTTTCTACATTTACTCCTCAGAGCTGCCACTGTGTCATACAGAGGATGTTTGTCATTATTCAGGATGCCACACATTAAAGCCCCCATCCTCTTTTCCAACACAGCTCCCACAGTCAACTTTCCTCTCCATCACGGCCAGAAATGTATTAATCAGTTTGTCCAGACAGTTACTGTCCTGTGTGGTCATACTGCCAGCCCCACAGGCAATCCCAAAAGAAAACAGCACTTGAAACAGCATAAAAAGTTATATAAAAGTATTCACTGCTCATATCAAATTATAGCAGCCTTCTCAGAAAGAACAGCCTGCTGAGGTGTACACTCAGATACTTGCATGCGTTTACCACCTCGATGTTCTCCCCATTGATACTGACCGTTTGATGAGAGGGCTTCCTACCAAAGTCAATAACCAAATCCTTGATTTTTGAGGTGTTAAGATAAGACCATTGTTGCTGTCCCAGGTGGTTAAATCATCTATAAGTCCAATGTACTCACCCTCATCCCCACCTTTGCTACTATATTGGTGTCATCAGATATGATCTGATGACACCAATATAGTATCTGATGACATTATCTGATAATATCCAAACTGTTTTTCAACACAAACCACACAGACACAGACCAGTTCAAGAAGAGAAAACATAGACCTGGCCATTAAGAAGATGTTAATGAAAAGAGGAATAGAGCCAGAATGTGGTTTCAATAACCACAGATGGAGCTGATTCTATGATGAGCATGCTCAGGTGATGAATGTAATGATAAAAATGAACAATTTTCTCAGAGCATCTCCTTCCCAGCAGCATTAAATGCTTCAGGATTTCATTGGAGAAGTTGATTATTTTTCTGCACAACAATGCAGAAAAGGCAGGATGTTAGTACACTTTTGGTCCATTAGGAGGGAAGTAGCATGTTTTTTTTTGACACAGCTAAGAAGTTAAAATGCACCCTAGATTTCACTCTTTTTTATCTCTTCCAGGACCCCTGGGCACCAGATAGTCCCCCCCTGGGCACCAGATAGCAACAATAGCGTAGGAAGACCCCTCACCTCGCTCCGCGGGCTCAATACTGTAAGTGAGTTGAGGACAACTCTGTCCTTTATAGGCAGAATTCTTCCACGTCTAATGAGTATTTAAAATAGAGGGGTGGGCGGCAGAAAGGTTTTTGGCAGTGCAAATTTATAGCACAAGTTAAATTCTCTGTTAAATTCTCCTATACAAACAATGCATCATCTGTCAGTTACGATGGGTCTTCAGGGTCATTGCAGCCAGATCAAAAGATAAGATGGTACCCTACCAAACTCAAACTCCTATAGCCCCCCCTCTTCTCTATGCGACAAAAGCCGCCCTCAACACGAATGCCACAATCTGAAACCGAAAAACAGCTTGTGTTATTACAGTATGAAGATCAAAGTGAGAATATGTGGCAATGCATCTTGGCGATCCCGCGCCATAAACCCTTCACCAGCCTACAAACTGATGACATCTCCTTGTTAGATAAGATTAAAACTTCTATGGTTGTTTTGACATACAGAACCAGGAGGCAGCCTCCAAGGCGGTGCTCCACGTAAACCACCAACCAATCAGACTCTTACTCACAGAGTTTGCTGTGCTGAACAGGACCAATGCACGTGAAGCTGTGTGCCCTTATGGCATCCCCTGTGGTTTGCAAGGGCCTGTGCTGAATTGTTAACTTGGGTTCTGACTAGGGATGCAAATTATCGATTAATTCATTAATCGTTAGTTGATTATCTTATCGATCGACTTTCGATTAATTGATAAGCGGCGTTTTTCACCTGAGTTTCAGGGCTTCAATAGGGCCTTAATATAATTGAGGTATTATATTACATTAGCCAACATTATGACACCATAATTATATTGTATTCTATTATACATTCCTCAAGTAATTATCCATTAGGAGAAGAAAGCAGACACGTTTTTAAGGTAAAACAAAATCTTTAATTAAAAAAAAACCTGGCTCAGTTCTTGCATGATAGCGCTCATCAACAAACTGCTGGACTGGTTCAAGGGTCCAGCAGTTTGTTGATGAGCGCTATCATCTCTCCGGCTGATGCTAATGCTAACGGACAGGTGGCTATGCTAGCGAGCTAGCTGGCTAACGCCCCAACGTTCTTGTTTTTGTGGTCGCGGACAGTCGCTATGACAACCTTCTTTGCCTGAATTAACAATATTGAAGTGGTCACACACCGCACTTCTTTTCGCCCGCTTCATTTTGTTTTCAACCCTGGTCTCTCTCGCGACACGAGGCGTGTTCTCGTTCTCACGCTGTGTTCAAGTTACAGTAAAGCGCTAGCGGTTAATCGTGATTAATACATTTTGATCGAGCAACCTCTTGATCGACAATTAATCTAAAGTCGATTAACCGTTTGCATCCCTAGTTCTGACTGACATCTTCAATCTCTCCCTGGCCCAAGCAGTTGTCCCCAGATGCTTTATGATATGTCCATTGTAGCGGTGTTAAAACATTTAGCTGCCACTTGTCACATGTCACAATAACTTCCGCTCTGTTGCACTCACTCCCACCATTATGAAAAGCTTCAACAGGTTAGTCTTGGCACACTTCAAATCCAGCCAACCACTGACTGGATCCTGCACTTCCTGACTAACAAATCCCCACTCTGTTTTCGGTAAAAAAAACTACATCTCCTCCATACAGAAGGGCTGTATGCTGAGCCCTCTCCTCTATTACATTTTCACACATTACTACAAACCAGTGTATGGCTTCAATGCCATCATCAAGTATGCAGACAACACAATGGTGTTTGATCTTATGACCTACAATGATGAGACAGGGAGGAGGTCCAGTACCTGACATCCTGGTGCTCTTAAAACAACCTGCCCATCAACACCAAAAGGAGATCATCGTGGACTTCAGGAGAACCACTGGGGGCACACACACACACCCATCCAGATTCACAGAGCTTAGGTGGAGCATGCCTCCAGCTTCAAGTTTCTGGGAGTCCAACTCTCCCAGGACCTTTATTGATTGGTCCATCCTGGTGTTGGAGAGGGCTCACCAGAGGCTTTTTTCCTGAGGAAATTAATGAAGGCCAATCCATCTCTTCAGTTCCTGAGGAATTTCTCCCATGTGATGAAAAATAATGAGCAATATGGAAAAGCAATGCAATAAGCAGTTTCAGATCCCACAAACAGCCACTCAAAAGTAGCTGCTGTTGATCTGTACAACTGGTGTTGAATTACATAATATCGTCTTTTAAAAAAGAGACACAATGTTATTCAGAGGAAATTCTTACACATGGGTGTGACACAGAATTACAGATTTTCCTTGTTCTTTCTGCCACCAACAATAGAACAGTACAGGTTTTACTTCTACTGGTAAATCGAGAGCTTCGCCCTTTGAGCACCCCCTGAAGGAGTTCTTGGATAATACAGTCGAATGGCTTTTTACAAATCCACAAAGCACATTCAGACTCGTTGGGCGATTTGCAATGCCTGCTCCAGGACCCTGAAGAAGGTGAAGAGCTGGTCCTCTGTTCTTTGGGCACACTGCTCTCGCTCTCTCTCTCTCTCTCTGTCTCTCTTTGTCTCTCTCTCTCTCTCTCTCTCTCTATATATATATATATATATATATATATATATATATATAAATACATAGTGGAACAGCAATTGGTGGAGAGATTTTGATAATTTCTTAATCCACCCTCACTTAATGTCCCCCTCCCTGTCACCACTCTCTGTCTCTCTCTTTTTATCTGTTTCTCGCTGCTAGCCCCAGCCCCTGAAGGTGTCATAGATATGCTCTCTCTCTTTCTCTCACTCACAGCCTTTCAGACCTTAAAAGCTGGTGCTTTGCTGTGTGTCTCTCAATCTCCATTTGTGTCCTCAGACATTTTAGAGGACTCAACTGACACAGCATCAAGGAAAGCTACTGTAAAGGAGCAAGAAGAAAACAGAGCAAAGAATAGAGAAAGGGAGACAGTTATATACATCTAGAAATAGTATAAGCTACATTTAGCTCACTGAGAGGGTGAAGAACCTGAGAGCTGAACTGAAAATGCTTATCCTTTCTAATTTAACAACCATTGCTTTGTTGCTGATTACTCACTGCGGATTAAGGACCAGTGCTAATCATTTTGGCCCTTTCAAAGTCTGCCACTCCTGTAAGGATCAACTCGGAATATATCGGTCCCCAAGGTACCATGATGATGCCAGCAGCACATCAGTTTTGGCCCAAGGAGACCTCTGCGGTGTATACACCTTGAACTGTGCCAAGGGTTTTCGCTGCATTCCCCACCCCAGGGAGCACAGCCCCCTGCAGGCTCTGTTGCAAGGAAGGGGCATATGCGCCAAGCAGAGCTGGAACATCCCCACTGAGATGCCCCACCCCACAGGTAAGACTCTGTCCTATATGTACATCTGTCTCCGTCCGTCTATATGTGTATATATGTAAAACATATATATATATATATATATACACACACACACAAAACTGGGGGGGATCAAATGCTTACACGCTTGATATTAAATTAAATTTCTTTTTTTTTCTCAGGTCTTCATCCCTCACATTATAATGCCATTGAGTCAGTAAGTTCAAGGGCTTATTTTTCCATTTCTAATGTGTAAGAACAATCATTCTTCATATCAATCTTAACACAGATCTAGTGCTGTTTGAGCTGTTACGCTGGTATGTATAAACTATAAAAGCTATAAATGCTACAAAAGCTATATATATGTGTGCATAAATCTATTTATTTTCTGTCTTTCTGATTGTGTTAAAAGTCACACACTGGATTGCTGTTTTTCAGGCACCATGCCACAAGCTGCTCAATAATGTCCTGAGAGGTCTCGAGCCAACAATCTTTCAGTCTGACCATGACATCTATATACCAAACTGTGACACCCGTGGCTTTTACAGGAAAAAGCAGGTAGACAATTAACTTTAGTGAAACACCAGGGGGTTATGTGGTGGTTGGTACCATTGCCTCAAAGCTCAAAATTCTGGCTGTCTGAGCTCATAGTGCATAAAATGCCAAGCTGTTATGTTATAATACTCAGCAACTCTCAGCAGTAAAGGCTCTGCAGTTTTTTAATTGATCCAGACATACTTGTCATACCTGAACTAACACCAATCTCTTAGCTGTTCACCATAGTCTTCAAAAGTAGTCATCAGCAAAGACGCCATAACATTTCCCTCTGCTTTTCTATTAACCTTTCTTACTTTTCATTTCCATTGTCTTGCCCTTTCAATTCACACAGTGCCGGTCCTCTAAGGGAATGCAGCGTGGACATTGTTGGTGTGTAGATGAGGTTGGTGCGCCCTTGCCTTTACATGGCAGTGAAGATGGTTCTTTACCATGTGATGGAGAGTAAGGGATGATTCTGCAACTACTGTGAGCCCAGAGGATGAGAAAAGATGAGGAGAAGGGGCACAAGGAGAAGACCTGGCTTTAGCATGGGCCAGACACTGCCTGGTACGGTGGCCCTGAGGTGCAAAACACAACGACATTAACGAAAACGCTACAACATTAACAAAGCACAAATACAAATTCAAAAACACAACAACATTAACGAAGCACAAATACAAATTCAAAAACACTACAACATTAACGAAAACACAACAACATTAATGAAAACACAACAACATTAATGAAACACAAATACAAATTCAAAAACACAACAACATTAACAAAAACACAACGACATTAACGAAAACACAACGACATTAACGAAAACACAACGGAAATGGTATGTCCCAGTGGGTGACCTAAGAAGTCGCTGATTGGCCTACAGCTCGTTTTACTTTTGAACCGGAAGTTATTCTGGCTTTAACGTGTTTTTTAAAAACATGAATGTTCTCCGTGATCCAAACCTTACTTCTGCTATTCGAGAGTATTTTGACTCAGGATATACATATGAGGTGATACTGGACATGCTTCGGACCAACCACGAAGTGTCAGTTAGTATGCGTTCATATCTGTGTTTTTCAGATGTGAAGTTAGTTAGTGACGTCAATCCCGGCTCACAATGGATGAGAGGAAGGTTACACAAACATCGAAAGACATAGACGAACAACCACACATGTCAGATTTTTGTGAAATTCAAATTCATTTGCGGGGTTGTTTACACTTCCAAACATATGCGATGCGTATTTGACACTCAGTGTGAACTGCAAGTGATAAACTAAACCTTTATACACTAAAGGCTTACAGAGAGCCCAAATATCGATTGGCCGACCCGCCCCGGGTTCCCGGACGGGCAGCGGGTGGCCCCCCTCCAAAATTTCTTCACTCAATAGGCACTTCCTATGGAGTTGCCATGACAACAATAAACAAAGCACAAGCTTAGAAGTAGCTTTCACCTCATCCCTTATTTATAAACAGTAAAAATATGTAACATCTATTACTCCATTACGATTTTTGAGTACTCTACCCACCTGTGTGTAATACTAAAATTAATAACACAAATATGTATTGTAGTACTTACTGCAGAACTTGCAAAATTTGCTTGGCTAACATATATCTTACCGTGTATGTTACTAAAGTCACCAGAACCTTGTTTTTCACATGAAGAGTTTGGACGTACTTTACAAATCCTTTTTAAACTCAGACAGTATGCTTCCATGGATTTCCGACCGTGATCAGCTTTCGCTGTACTTCACATCTGAAAAACACAGATATGAACGCATACTAACTGACACTTCGTGGTTGGTCCGAAGCATGTCCAGTATCACCTCATATGTATATCCTGAGTCAAAATACTCTCGAATAGCAGAAGTAAGGTTTGGATCACGGAGAACATTCATGTTTTTAAAAAACACGTTAAAACCAGAATAACTTCCGGTTCAAAAGTAAAACGAGCTGTAGTCCAATCAGCGACTTCTTAGGTCACCCACTGGGACATACCATTTCCGTTGTGTTTTCGTTAATGTCGTTGTGTTTTTGAATTTGTATTCGTGTTTCGTTAATGTTGTTGTGTTTTCATTAATGTTGTTGTGTTTTTGTTAATGTTGTAGTGTTTTTGAATTTGTATTTGTGCTTCGTTAATGTTGTTGTGTTTTTGAATTTGTATTTGTGCTTTGTTAATGTTGTAGTGTTTTTGTTAATGTCGTAGTGTTTTGCACCTCAGGGCCACCGTATAAAACTCATGTTTTCTCAAGAAGCAAGATGCACCCTCTACAAACAACAGTCCAGTATCAGTAACAATAGCTTCTGCCAGAATGTAAAAAAAATGCAGCAGCTGCCTCTGTTGTGACTGTCAATGTGGTACATGCTCACATTAATACTCCATGAACTGCACGGTATTCCAAGCAGTTGTATCTATTATTTCCCTGCACATGTTTCAGGTTTTTGTTTTTTTCTGTTAGATTTTTCCTTTTGTTATTTTAGGAGAGCTAACACTGCCTGTGTTTGTTATAAAATCAATGAGCTGAAATATTGTTATGCAGATGGTTTGGGACAAATGTTTGAAAAAACGTACATCATAGCAGTATCATTGTATATTTTACGTATCTGTCTGTCTGTCTGTCTGTCTGTCTGTCTGTCTGTCTGTCTGTCTGTCTGTCTGTCTGTCTGTCTGT